GCACATTGAAGGGCCTAGGGGGAGAGCGGTTTCATTCTTCTCTCTCACCCTCTCTTCCTCAATCCCAAAGATGTAGATAGAGTGGTTTTTTTTTAAGGGTTGGGTTTTGGACGATCTTGGTTGTGGCTCCTTTGTTGACCTAGCCACGGCCGGTCACGCTTAACAGCGGTCGATCTAGTGGTAGCATTCTCCCGGGTTTGTGCGTTGGTGCTGTTGGTGCGTGAGTGGTGATATACTTTTTTTCGTTTTTCCTGGTAATTTCTTCATACTCTATCGATACGAACCTTGTATTATTTGGTGCGAGTCGTTAAAAAAGATTAATCATAAGGTTGCTCTATTTTTTCTCTCATTTCTCTTTATCTCATGTAAATTTAATGTAAGTATTTTGAAGTAATTGTATAACTAGCTCTCACATGAGAGCTAATACTCCTCTTTTTTTTAACTTTTTTTCACATAAGTTTATAGTTAGCTTACAGAGTTATAGCCCACTATTATTCTAGATCCTGATGCTACTTTACAAGCAGTGTTTATAGTTGCTATTTATTTTTATAAATTGTACTGGGATATAGAATTGAACGAAACTACCATGTTTTCATAGTGTCGTTGGAATGATACGATAATACTACTAGCAGTTAAAACCTTTTTTTAAAAAAAATAATCATGTTTTATTGCGGGGAAAAACTAAATTACCTTAGCCCAAAACTATAATTGATATTCCTATCATTATCTTCAAAAAATCGATATTCCTATTTATTACTACTAAGGAACTAGTACTCTCTAAAGTAAAAGAGATAGAGTGAGAGAATCGTAATATGGGTCATCTTCTGTTGTTAAAGGTTTACTTTGGATTTGCCCTAAATCAATTATTTTACTTTTAATCGAGTAATTCTTGCACTATTACAGTTTAGATTAGCCTAAACAACTTGCACGGTCCAAACTAAAATAGCAAAATCACCCGGTCTAAAAATAAAAAAGATCAGTTTAGGGTGGTCGTCCAAAGTAAAAATTTTGACAATAAAAATGGCTTAAAGTGCAATTCACTTAAAAAATATAACTATAATTGATATTCCTATCATTATCTTCAAAAAATCGATATTCCTATTTATTACTACTAAGGAACTAGTACTCTCTAAAGTAAAAGAGATAGAGATAGAGTGAGAGAATCGTAATATGGGTCATCTTCTGTTGTTAAAGGTTTACTTTGGATTTGCCCTAAATCAATTATTTTACTTTTAATCGAGTAATTCTTGCACTATTACAGTTTAGATTAGCCTAAACAACTTGCACGGTCCAAACTAAAATAGCAAACTCACCCGGTCTAAAAATAAAAAAGATCAGTTTAGGGTGGTCGTCCAAAGTAAAAATTTTGACAATAAAAATGGCTTAAAGTGCAATTCACTTAAAAAAATATTTAATATTTGGAACAAGATTGGGTAAAGCTTTCAAAATTTTGATTTTATATTAAAATATCCATACATACGATTTTTGAAACTAAATGCTACTGATGGTTAAAGTATAAAGAGTTTATCGAATCTTATGCTAAGCACTCAAAATTTACGACCGAAGGAAGTACTCCCTCCATACTCGTAAAGAAAGTCGTTTAGAACAGCGACACGATCTTCAAAACCTAACTTTATTCATGATTTATATTCCCAAGATTTGATTTAAATATTGTCCGAGTATTTTCCAGGATGGCAGGACCCGTCGAGAGAGATGCAACCGACCTTGCACAACTGCACGTATATGGCCGCATCGCATTACGGAGCGCAGACAGTAAAAAAAAGGTCAAATTAGTATGACCACTGCGCGTATACGGGTTACGAGCGTATGACCACTGTAGCTACAGGGACCCACCAGTCTATGCTACTATAGTACTACCTGGCGTTGCATGCGTCCTTTGCGGTGTTGACTTTACCGGTTGCATTGGTTTCCGTTTAGGCAAGCCGATTCGTCATCGACGGAGCCTCAGATATGCGTCATCGATACTTGGAGCCCGCGCGGGCCGACGGGATTTACAATTTTTCGTTGAGGATTTCGTGAGCGACATGTCCGAGCCGCGGCATCTACAGAAGTCCACAGCCGTGTGCCTAATTGCCAATGGACTACGGAGTACTATATATTTACGCGACTAGTAGCTGGGGTAGCGACGGAAGTAAGAGCATCTTCAACAGTCTCTCCATCTCACTCTTCAAGCTAAATTTTAGCTATTATAGTCTAAAAATATGCTCCAACAGTCTTTCCAATTGGATGGCTAAGTCATCCGGCTGGCCAAAACCCCTCCTCCACTAGCCTAATTTGGCCAGCCAGAAAATCACTGGCCTCCCACCCCCCTCCTTTGGCCCGGATGGCGCAGGCGGCCAAGACCTCGACGCCGCCGCCGATGCAGCGCCGTGCACCACCGCTAGCACCGGCTTCCGTGCGCCGCCTGCATCTCCAGGATGGTGCGGCGGAGCTCCTCGACCACGAGCGCTGGGCCGCCGCCGCCGGCGAGGAGGGGGCCGTGGCGGGGTTGTTGGGGAGCCGGCGGCGGAGAGCACGACAGCGAGTGTCTTGAACCCATGCCAGAGCGCCACCATCGTTGTCGAGGTCGCTAGCCGCTGTCACCTTCGTCTGCACCATCGCCAGTTGTCCCCGTGGTTGCCGTTGCCGTCGTCTGGATCTGGCGGCGGCCGACCTCCGTTGCCTCCGTCCCCACCGGCGCGATGTGGATTCGGGCGGCGCAGCATAGATTCGGGAGGAGGATCCGCCGTCCCCACCGGATTTGGGCGGCGCGGCGTGGATTCGCGCGGCCTCCGCCGCCTTGCTATTCGCCGCCGCCACCATCCCCATCCACTACGGTAACCGTCGTCGTTTCCATTCGCCACTGTTGAGGAAGAGGAGGAGGGGGGAGAAAATCTAGAGGAAGAGGGGAAGAAAGAGGAAGGAGGGATAATAGAGGCTGACATATGGGTTTCAATGTCATAGGCTCGAAATAGGGAGTTTAGATGGTGAGGCTGTTGGAGTGAACAATGAGTTTGACTGACCAAATCAATTGGCTAGCTGGCTATATGGGTATTTGGAGAGTCTATTTTGGGTAGTCTATTGGAGATGCTCTAAGTGAGTAAAAAAAATATAAGCGAGTTATAAAAGTTGCCACATCATATGAAGGAGAGATGAGAAGAGAGAGAAAGAAACGAACTAAAGATTAGTAGCCAGTTGTAGCATGGACTCCAAGATATATATGAATTAGATATTAATTATGCAGTGCATATCTACAACTAACTATTGTATAAGTGTGCTATTAGGTTGGTTACAAATGATGTTTCAATTTTTAGAGCTATGGTTGGCTATATTATTAAACTTGCTCTAAATGAGGCGAGAGACGACAGTGGGGAGAAAGGACCGAGGATATATGTGCAATCGTGCATGGCGTGCGGTCCTTGGGTTGAGATGACGAATTGGTTATTTCCGTTCCAGCGGCCATGGATCAGGAGATTCCGGAGACGAAATTAGTGACGTTATATCAAACGTTTCACACACCAAACTCTTCAAATAGAAATAATGGCATCTTAATACATTCTGGAGCGGATATTTCTCCTACATGGTAATCCATACAACAAAAGGTATTTTTAAAATCTATGGCATCCACCTAGCAGTACATATCACCTCTTTCATGGGCTTGACCTTAGCGGACAACACCGGCAAGGCATGGCTCAACCACCACCACTCTATCTTCGGTCGAGGTGATAATGAGAAGTAGGAGACACCAGCGGACGATAGGTTATGGCTTGGGATATATATCTGGAGTGGACGAGCCAAAGAGAAGACAAACTCCTCAAGCTGTGCAACAGAGACAAAACCTGCGGAGGTACGACAGCTGAGACCATGGAGCTGAGCAGCAACTCATGGTGCTCACCATCCATGGTTGCCTCTACATCTTCTCGTGACGGAGCTTGGAGAACGGGAAAGCCTTGAGCTTAGCGTCTATTCGTCACCATCTCGAGGTCCACGTCAGTCCACCCCCACCTCGAGCTGCACGTCTATGAATCTCTTCCACCCTACCAAGCTCGAGAAAACGATGGCTGTCTGAGCTATGGTGTTCGCCACTGTGTTGATAGCTCCAGCAATGGCCGGCGTAGAGAGAAGAGATTAGGAGAGCAGAGTTTGAGCTTCGTCGCCGGCTATCGCCTCAAGTGCCCTCTGTGAGGGGAGCATGAGCGTTAAGAAGGGAGGATAGGGGAGGGCATTGTTGAGAGATATGACATGTGGGCCTATGAGTTTTTATTTTATTCTTTTATCATTGGATTGACACATTTGATGCCACGTGTACTAGCTTAGGTGAATCTGGCCAAACAATATTTAGGCAATGTTTTTCTTACACCTTTCCCAACCTCTGCTCCCTCATTTTTTGCGCATACGCTTTCCGAATCGCTAAACGAGTACGTTTTCTGTAAAAAGAGTTATACAAAAAGTTATTTAAAAAAACATATTAGTTTATTTTTAAAAAAAAGCTAATACTTAATTAATCATGTACTTAAGTCATTTCGTTTTGTGTGCGCGAGGGATTAGTTCCAACTTCATAAGAAGAACACAACCTTAGGGATGCAGCGAGTGTCTATTTTTTTAAAAAAATTAGAGAGGATAATTCACTGTCGAAAACTTGAGATGGTAGCTCAGACTTTTTATTATGGCAATTAAAAAAGAAACAGTACCATATTGTAGTCGCCACGTAGATAAAGCGGTACCATCTGCACATGAAAGCCCTAGCAGGCTAGCACCTAACCAATTCCTCTCTGGAATTCTTCTGGTTGTGCCGATGGATCGGCCACCCCACCGACCGACGCCCGCACACGCACAGACGCCTCGTCCGTCCGTCTCTCGTCTCACCTCGTCCTCCCCACCGCATTCAAAACTCGGCTCCACTTCACCACTTCACCAGTGGCAGGGCACGTAAATACCTCGGAACCACGGTGTCGTTATCCCCGCGTCGCGCTCCGCCATTTAAACCCCGCGTCCCCCACCTGTCCCTTTTCCTCCGCGTCCATTTCCATCACGCTCCACTCGCCTCGCTGCAGCAACCTCCTTCGCTCGAGAGAGAGAGAGAGAGAGAGAGAGAGAGGCACAGATTTTTGGGTTCGTTTTTGAAGTCCTCGATCCAGCCGGCGGAGGGGCGCCGGCGGGGAGCGGAGGCCGCCGCCGCTCGATCCGGTGAGCCACATTCGGTTCCTGAGCTCTCTCTCTTTCTCAGTGTCGTGGTTTCCGCCCGGGGGGGGGGGGGGGTGCTTGCTTCGGCTCGAAGCGTGAGGGGTCGGGCGAGCGGGCGCTGTCGCCTCTGGATCTTGCCCCTGTCGCTTCGGTGCACGCGAATCGTGGGGGGCTGGGCCTGGACCTGAATCTCTTGGTGTGCTGTGGATTTTTTTTTTATTTCGATTTTGATAGTTCGGATTTGGGGTTTGGATCCGGGAGTTGCCGTGGTTCTGATTTCTGAACTTCCGATCAGCTCGAAACGGGACGGTCCAGTCAATGAGGAGAGTGCTTGGGTTTTGACAAGCCGAGGTGAAAGATCTGAAGTGATTGGCACTAAAATTCTGTTTAGACTACCGTTTGGTTTTCTGTTTCTCTGATCTGTGCGCGGACCGCAAAAATTGGTGGATGCATAAGTTCCGAGTAGCTGCTGAGCATTGTGGATTTTGGTTATGCTCTGCCCATGATGTTTGATAATCGAATCTGAGTCAAGAATTTTGGGGGCATTATTATCTGTGTTTTTTGGCATTAGCCTTTTCTTCTTTGGGACTCCGTTTTGTTTTTGAGGGTGAGTGACGTTCGTACCGTTGTTTGCAGGGTTTTGAAGTGGACGAGGAACTGCTTTTATGGTGGGAAGTTGTAGTCTAGGAAGTGATTGATATTTGAGCAATTAGTCCGTTGTCAGGGTTGTAACTTGTAAGCAACATGGAGGGGGCGGTTGCTAGCAATGTGGAGCTTGATTCTGCAGTCTTCCAAGTATCCTCAGCCCAGAACAGGTGATTCTTGCTAAGATATTTTTTGGCTATAGCTGTTTAATGTTCCTATCTGTTTCTCCAAGAATTGGGCTCAACAAATTTACATACGATGCATTTTATTCCTCTCCTCTATAATGGACTTTCCGTTTTCCTTTCTGCGTTAGGTTTGAAATGGGAATTTTGTACATGATGTGCTGATGATTGCTCAAGTCTTTTGTGATTCACAATTTCCTTTAATGAAAATATGAACCTCACCCTGCAGCTCTCTCAAATATTTTTTTCTACAGATACGAGGCAATTGCTTGCAGTAAAGGGAATACAGAATTGATTGCATCTGGTCCTTTTGATCAATTAGTCCTGCACTTGGAAGATGCTAGGAAGTTCCAATCGTGTTCAACAGCTGGCACTTTTAAGCTGTCGTTGTCTGGGAATGCAAAAGGATCTTCCTGGTTCACAAAATCCACCATAGCACGGTATCTGCAATCAACATTTTTCTAGTTTTTATGTTTCTCCTTGCAGAGACCATGACATAATTGGATCCCCCTTACAGGTTCCTGAATACCATAAATTCACCAGATGCCTCAAAATCTGCAAATGGAATTTTACATGAAATCTCACAACTGGAGGAAACTAGAAAGTTTCATCAATCTCTCTATTCTAAGGTATCACAACTCTTCCCGTAAAATACCCATAGTTTTTAGTCACGACGACCTGAACATTTCAACGTAGATGCCATTATAATGAGCATTTATCTTTTGTAGGAACAACGAAATCCTATGGGTGGTGCTTTATCCGGTACATTGAAAGAAATATTTGGTCATCCATTGCTCTGCTCTGTCTTACTTGAATGTCCTTACAACCTTTAAATGCACATGTGCACCTAGACTCAACATACTACAATCTATGCTAGATTGCATTTACCATTTTAGTACCAGTTTGGCTTGATCGTTCAGACTTTTACTAGCAATGGTAGTATTCCTAGTTGAGATTATCTTTTGCTGACCCTTAGAGTAGATTAATTGTTCTCTAGTTGAGATTATCAATGATTATTTTGCTTGTAGTTAACAGCAATAGTTGTCAGCAAAAAAATCTGAGAATAATCCATCCTTCTATAAGATTCTGTTAATTTGTTGTCGGTACATTTGCAATCTAAAGTAACCATGTATGCCTCAAGGTCCTCAACAAGTACTCAAAAGTGTTAATTTATTGTAGTATGTTGATAAAGCATACCTTCCTTTAGGAAGTCTCTTAACAAGGGCAGAGGATTTTCTGTTAGAAGCTATTTGTTTGAGTAGGGGAATTTTAGTTGAATTCTCTAATTATTGTATCAAGCTTCAATGGCCCTTAAAATTTTATGCTCACTTTATTGCAATATTTAATCATCTTTGCAGGAGGTGTCTTTGGTACCATTGGCGTAGAACAACAGGTGAACTGCTTTTCATTTCTGCAAGATCTGAACCAGCTTTATGGTTTTGTATTATTTTAAGTCTTACATTTCATTCTTAAAATACCTTTCAGGGAAATGTTGGCCCAAACTCATCTGAAGCAACAAAGTAAACCTTTTTCTTCTTTTTTTTTTTGCTACTTTATCTTGCCCTTCTTTTAGCTGACGATCTATATGATTACTATGCTAGGAATGAATTGCTTCGAGCTCTGGATTTGAGGTTGACTGTACTGAAAGAGGAGATCTTTGCGTTGTTGAATAGAGCAGTCGTTTCCAATATGTCAACTAGAGATGTATCTGATTTATCCTCATTTGTTCAGCACTTCGGTGCATCAGAGTTCAGGTATGGTCCATGAGCATTGTGCATGCAGGGTTCAAGGCCACTGTTTTTTCTACTAAAAATAAGTGTAAATGCCAAAAAGTGTTACTTAGTAGGTCAAATAACTATCCTATATTCATCGATAAGTCCACTTATTTATAATTCTGTCATTATTTGGAAGAAAACTGACCTACCTGATCACTTGGAAATAACGTGCTTTTTTAAGACTGTATGTTACATCCTCATCACTGAAATTATGTATTGTTTCTTTTAATTCATGTATCAAGAATTAACTGCTGTTTTTCTTGTTTGTTAGCTGGTTGATGCGGTGCCTACTGTTGATCCCAGACTGCCAACCCTCTGAGGTCTCCCAACAGCAGTCTTTCCCTGCCGAGAAAGATGACAAGGGAGAAAATGCACTTCATACTCGTAATATCAGCTCTCATACCATTATCCAGAGGCCTATTACCAACAATGTTTCCCCAGCAAAGCTTGCTCAAATTGAGCGTGAAAGCTCAACTGAAAGTGATGATTCTTCTGAGTCCAGTGCTGAAGATGAGGCTGTCGTTGAAAGAAGCCGGCCACTCATGAGGTCTGCTTCACCTAGGAGATCTGCTTCTCCAATGCGAAGGGTTCAAATTGGTAGATCAGGATCTCGTAGGTCAACAGCGATTGCCATCAAGAGTCTCAGCTATTTCCCCCCTAGTCAAAGAATTCCTTTGGATAAAGATGATGAAAGTGGCAGTTGCAATGGTGAAACTGACCAGCCTTCAAGGAAATCTGACAATAATGTAAGAAGGATGAGTGTGCAGGATGCAATAAATCTCTTCGAAAGCAAGCAGAAGGATCAGAATCCGGATTCGCAAAATAAGAAAGCTGGCTTGTTTGCTACAAAGTCAGTACTAAGAAGGTGGAGTGCAGGAATGGGTGATTCCTTGAACAATAATTCAGAAGAAAAAACCATAGATTCCACATCCCAAAGTAAATCCAACAATACAGGATCCGATTCAGAGAAGGATGGAGCTGAAACACAGGCTGAGCCAGGTTCAGCTTCAGCTTCTAACACTGTTGTTACGCCTTCTGTTGAAGGTTTTCACACTAATATGCAAGGTGTTGCAATGCCAGAAACAGAGACAGCGGTTTCATCCCATACTGAAATTTCTGCTGAGCAGACAAAGTCAGGGCAAGAGGAAAACAGTGATCGGGCAATGGCCTCTGCTGAGTGGAACCGCCAGAAGGAAGCTGAGCTTAATCAGATGTTAATGAAAATGATGCAAGTCATGCCTGGAAAGTTTTCGAGTGCTAATGTCACCACTACTGGCATCACTTCCACAAATGAGAAGAAAGGTGGACTGCAAGGTCAGCATAAAGAGAAGCGAGACTCGAAAGTTCGAACCGATAAAGGTGGAAGGCGGCCAGCAAAGGAGGCAAGCACTAGGCCCTTGAAGGAAACAGTTGGGCAGAAGAAGGCAGCAATTACCCCCAAAACTGGCACTGCAGCTGAGAAACGCAATTCTCCAGTTCCACAAAGGGCACGGAGAAATTCATCACCTCCGGTCCTACCAAAAGAATTGACCCCAAAAGCGCCTGCCAGAAAGAGCTCACCCAAACCATCACCTGCACCTGTGACCCGCAGTTCATGGTCAGGTGGATCTTTGACTAAAGCAACTACTGCACAGAAAACTAAAAGCTCTCCTGGGACAGTTTCAGCACCGACAGCAACTAGTCGGAGAAGGACTCCAGTAGCACCCTCATCTTCTCAACCAACTTCAAAGGTGGAAAGAAGTGCTCAACCGGTGAAGAACAAAAAGGAAACAGTTGCTGCTTCAAAGCCAGCAATTAAGGGAATTGAAGAAAAGAAGACTAAAACAGCAACAAAGACAAGCAGGCTAGCTAAAAGTACACCTATTTCAGATGAAAAATCAAGTGCAGCAACTAGGCCAAACTTGTATAACAAGGTTGCAAAGAAGAGCAGTGTTGTACCGCTAGAATCAAAACCATCAAAGAAAGCTACTGGGATTAGTCAAAGTGCTGGTACTGATGCTGTGAAGAGTAAGATGCCACAACTTGATGACTCTTCCAATGACATTGGAAATATTACCCAAGCTGAAGATAAGGAGCACTCTGCTGTGACAACCCAGCCAAAAACTACTAAGGTATTGGAGGCTGATCTTGCTCAACCAGCACATGATGTTGATGAAAATTTAGAAATTTCGCTCGATAATGACTTAAATATTGAAAAAACAGAAAATTCGGCCCCAAGTTTAGCTACAACAGAAATGGACTCCAGTGAACAGGTTGAACCTCACACTGAGGTTCAACCACCTCCTGAAGAGGACATGGGCATCTCATCAGCTGCCTGGGTAGAGGTAGAGCATGAAGAAGTTACTGATGTGGGTGAAAATGTAGTGCCTGAGGATGTCACCTCACCATCAATTGAGCCCTTGCCATCTTCAAGCCCTAGAATCCGTCACTCATTGTCACAAATGCTGCAAGCAGATAGCAATGAGCCGGAAATTATTGAGTGGGGAAATGCTGAAAACCCACCTGCAATAGTTTTTCATAAAGATTCTCCAAAGGGATTAAAGAGGCTTCTAAAGTTTGCGCGTAAAAATAAAGGAGACAGCAACAGTAATGGTTGGGCGAGCCCATCTGTTGTTTCTGAAGGAGAAGATGAACTTGAAGAACCACGAGGTGGTAATGAAGGTGTAAATTCGAGCAGGAGAACATTTGATGGCCCCAAGACTAACAGCATCTTATCAGGTACATTTTCTACCATGAGAGGGCATTTTTTCTGCAGCCAGTATAGCTATAGGAGAAATCTGAATATAGAGTACAAGCTTTAGTTTTTGAGCTGCTCTGATTTCACCATTTAACAGCGCATGATGACAGTAGGTAGAAATGCATTTCCAATTCCCACATGTTTATACACACTTAAGTGAAGTAACTGAGGTCACAACATTATTGTTTCACAAGAGTACCAAGCACCTTTTTTAAAAGAACTTGTCTGCAGCGAAGATTTATGGGATGCTTCTGAAATGGAAGAGCAGATTATCTTTCATGCTTGCTCACATTGTGTTTATATTTATTTCCTTTCTATTTCAACTATGCTTATTCTTCCCCAGCTCAATCAACCACCGGCAGCTTCAACTCAACGAATTCAGACAGGTTACGGGATAGGCCTGGAGCTGCCCCATCAACTAAATGTTAGTTCTTGCAAACATAGTATCGTCATCACTTGCATTATGATTATAATAAACTGCAGCCATCTCTAATACATCTTTGCTACCTTGTACTTCCAGCGTCAAGGTCGTTCTTCTCCCTATCAAACTTCCGGAGCAGCAGATCAAACGAGTCGAAGCTCAGATAGCATGCCATGTTCTCCAGGAGATACATGGATAATTGGATAGTCGATCCCTTCCAGTTTGGAGGTCAACTGATGTAAAAAAAAAGAGATGGTTTGAGATTGATTGATTGTTCGGACGGAGCCAGCTTGTTGTGTTTGGTTCTGGGTTTTCTGCAATTTGATATAGTCTCTGCGTCTAATGTCATACTCAACCTCTCACCTTTCTTGTACATCTTTTCACTTTTTAACAGTTGCTGGAACTGCAAGCTTATTTGGATCCGGTCGATGTTAGGGAAACTGGTGCTAATGTAAAGTGCATAGCGTGAGCCTGAGGTGCTCACAGCCGATTGCGATGCCCGAACTTGATCTGACGTCGTGTAACTGTTCAATGAGCCTGTGTGCAAATGCAATGTTGCAACGACACCAGCTTTTAGGGGGAAAATATAGCGTGGAAATCTGAAAACCACTTTGGGATAACAAAAACTAGACGTATAAGATTTGTTCTTTGCATAAGATCACATGGATAGAATAGTCGTTTACTAGCTATTTGTAGGACATCATCGCCTCACCAGCTGTTAAACATAAACATAGGGTGTGTTTAGATCCAGGATAAAAAGTTGTGGCTTGTCATATCGGATGTATGTATATTTAAAGTATTAAACATAAACTAATAACAAAACGCATTTAAAATATTAAACATAGACTAATAATAAAACACATTTAAAGTATTAAACATAAACTAATAACTAAACAAATTACAGATTTCAACTGTGAGATGAATTTATTAAGCTTAATTAATTCATCATTAGTAAATGTTTTATTGTAGCACTACATTGTTAGATCATAGAGCAATTAGGCTTAAAAAAATCGTCTCGTAATTTACACGTAACCTGTGTAATTAGTTTTTTTTTCCTATATTTAATACTCTATGCATGTATCCAACATTCAATGTGACAAGTTGAAAAATTTTACCGGGGCCCATAGACCATCATCAAAGACTTTGCCCAGTACTAAAGTGCAAGTCCTGAGAGGAACAGATTGTCAAAAAATACAGCATAGTAGCAGCGTTTATTTACCACACGCATAGCATTTATTTGCTGCCAGGAATCATCCTGCTACGCAACGCAACCACCAGCAAAACTGGAAAGCGAATTCATTGGTTTGTCTGCAGCCCTTCCAGAAACGGAGAAGCTGTGCATCTTTCTCCAAGTCTCAAAACACGTGGGAACTACAGAGAGAAACAATCTCGTCGTGGCGAAGAGGAGCAGATATCAGTATATCACCAGTCACTACTATTCACTAGTACTCCGTAGTCAAATTAGTCATCATTTGTCGACAACTTCGATCAGCGTAGGCTCATAGTGATCTGGGGCCTCGAAGCCATGAAGATTCATGACTGTTGCCGCAACGTTGGCAAGGCCGGCACTGGGGAGATCTGACCGAAATCTTACCCCTGGTTGAAGCCCAGGGCCTCCAATGGCGATGGGAACCTGCAGATGGTTTCAGAAAGTGAGGTCCTAAACAGCAACTGCATCCTAATATTGTTAACACGGTGTATTGCAAAGCAAAGCAGATCTGGAAGTGAGCCTACTGGATTCAAAGTGTGTGAGGTGAGGGGCTGGACATTTCCATCCTTGTCGCGAAGCGGTTTGCCAGATTTATCTCTTTTCACCATGTCCTCCGCATTGCCATGGTCTGCGGTGACCACGAAAATGCCACCTACTTGTTCTATCGCATCGAGAACAATCTGAATAAGAGAATTCCGGTCCACCATGAGTATTTTCAAACAGTGAAAATCATGCATACAAGACTGAATGGTGAATTGGTGGCCTATCAATTGTTAAAAGACTGAAAAGAGAGAGAGCACTGCAGACATGATCACCTTAACAGCTTCATCAGCTGCCTTGCACCCAACGATAGTAGCTTCAATGTCGCCTGTGTGACCAACCATATCTCCATTTGCGATGTTTACCCTTACCTAACAAATGACCAAAATAACATTAGGCCTATTAAGTGGATTAGCTGCTAGTAACAATTATCACGCCCTATCTATCTGAAGTCTACCCGATGCATGGCCTATGAGCTCTTTGTTCGTTCTTCTGAAGGAATTTATTTGTTAAATACCTGATCAAATTTGCGACTCAGGATGGCATCCCTTGTCTTCTTCGCAATTTCCACGGCCTTCATTTTTGGCTGTTCATTGAAGGGGATACCAATGTCACTTGGAATTTCTTCGTATTTTTCCAGGTTTGGGTGGAAGTAGCCAGACCGGTTTCCATTCCAGAAAAAAGTGACGTGACCAAATTTGACTGTCTCACTGAAAATTAGAATGACAAGATATGAAGCTGCATGCTCAAGTACCAACACTCAGAGCAAACACTTTCGACAAGATAATGAACAGTATTGTACCTGCAAGCATATGTGCGTATGCCATTGCGCGCTAAGTATTCGCCAGACGTTCTCTCTATCTCTGGGGGAGCAACAAGAAAATGGCTCGGAAGTTTTAGCTCACCGTCGTACTGAAGCATACCGGCATAGCGAATCTTGGGGAACCTGACACGATCAAATTTGTCAAAACTCTCGTATTCTAGTGCCTTTGCAAGCATGACCATCCGGTCTGCTCTGAAATTAAATGTCACAACAGCATCCCCATCCATTATAGGGCCAATCGGTCTTCCTCTTTCGTCAACTATAACAAATGGCGGTAAATACTGGTCATTGGCCTTTGGATCCTCCCTGAGCTTCTTCACAGCTTCAAGGGCGTTTTGAAACTTATGTGGCGCTTCACCGAGAACCTGTGCATCCCAACCACGCTTCACAACTTGCCAGTCATTCTGCAGAACCAGTGAAAATTTCAATCATATTTTTGGCGCAGAGAAAATTGTGCCATGACATTACAAAAGGCAAGTATTGAGCAGCTAGCTTCGGACAACCTCTTATGTTAAGAAATGCAGCTAGCATATGCAACATAAGTGGTAAGATATAATGAGTTCCCGGAGTAGTAACTGAACTCTGAATTCAAATGCTTGACACATACTCCCTCCGTTATCATATTATAAGTTGTTTTGACTTTTTTAAAGTCAAATCTCTTGAAATTTGACCAAGCTTATAGAAAAATATAGTAATATTTATAGCACTAAATTAGTTATTTTAGATCCAACATTTTTTTGTGTAAACTATTAGATCCAACATTGAATATATTTTGATAGTTTCTTTATTTTATGTTAAAAATATTGTTATATTTCTCTATAAATTTGGTTAAAGTTAAAGAAGTTTGATTTATAAAATAGTCAAAACGATTTATAATATGAAACGGAGAAAATACCTCATAACGGTCCATCGTGACATACATCCTGCCACCACCAGATGCAATTCTTGCATCCACACCCTTATCCCGTAATTTAGCAAGGTCATTCTCAATCAATTCCACAAACTTGACACTGCTACCGTCCAACACATCACGGCCATCTGTAAGTATATGAACCCGTATCCTTTTCGCTCCATGCTCACTGGCTCCTTTTAGAAGCAGCTGCAAGAGCCCACCAAAAGAACATTAACAAGAGAAACTGAGATAGTTGTACTACTACTCAACTACAACTGATCGACGGATGAAGTTTGAAATTTAATTATATCAACCTGCAGCTGATCAATCCTTGAATGTACTCCTCCATCGCTGAGCAAGCCAATGAGGTGCAAAGTACCGTTCTCGAAGGACTGTTGGATGTACTTAAAACCTTCCCCCTCGTATATCTTTCCAGAGGCTAGCGCCATATCTACCAGTTTTGCACTGCGCATTGTCAGCAACTGATCAGTAACTTGGCATTTGAGATGTGCATGCAACACTCATCCATGCTACCGTAGTTTTTGGAACAATCAGGTTAAGGTGATTAAAGCTGGTCATACTCACGCATGATAGTACTCCTCTGTTCTAAAATATAAGACTCCTTGTGATTCGGAAATTCAACATTGAAAATTTTGACATTAGATTCATATTTCAAATATTTCCATCTGATATTAATTTCATAGTTATTGATAACAAATTATGAAAGAAATCAATGGTCAAAATATACATATTTTTACATAAACGGTCAAAGTATAATATTGGAGACCCTGTAAAAGTCTAATACATCTTATATTTTAAAACAGAGAGACTTGTCCAGGAAGAAGAGTAGTGAGATAAAATTATTCATAATAAAAGAGTTAAGATTCAGCATTCAACAGCTAGGTCCCTGTGCAACTGGGCTGCATTACTACATACTGTCACTGGAGGGTGTGAATGTGCACCTAGAGAATTAGAGACATTAACCATCTTAAATGAACAAGCCTTACTTCAGAAGATATTTACAGCAGGTTGAAAAGTAAATTACGTTCTACTTCATCCGTCTTTCATTTTTCATCTATCGCACATATATCAATAAAAAAACAAAAATAAACTATAATACTCTTACTTTATCAAATCTCAATGCAATTATTTTCTACTTCATCTACTCCTAATATATTTATCCCCTAATTTTATAAACTCCGTGATCGCTAAATAATGAACTTATTATTTTAGTACAAACGGAAAGCACGAAAAATGAAATTATTATAGGATAGAGGGAGTATCTAGTTAGCCTGAACAACCCAACATGCATTTTTCTGGTGTATATACTACTCCCTCCGTTCCAAATATAAGGTATTTTTTATGGATGCATGGAACATATCCTAATACTATGAATCTGAACGGACTCTACTATCTAGATTCATAATATTAGAATATGTTCTATTTATCTAAAATCGCTTATATTTTAGCATCGAGGGAGTAATATGCAGAGTAACAGAATTGCAGGTACATGCAGAAAACCAGAAATCAAGCAGAGATTGCTGCTATGCTACTATACTAGTACAGTAAAGGGCCCCTTTGAATCGCAGGATTGAAAAAAAACGTAGGAATAGGAAAAACGTAGGATTTTGATAGAAATGTAAGTGGAAAACAGAGGATTGCAAAACGCAGGAAAAACACAGGAATGACCGTTTGATTGAACCGCAGGAAAAACGCAGGAATTGGATGAGAGAGATAGACTCAAAGGAAAGTTACCAAAAGATTGAAGCTCTTGCTAAATTTTCTCCAAAATCTCTATAAGATTGTCCATTCCATAGGAATTTCAAAGGATTGGATATGATTCAATCCTTTGTTTCAAAGGGCTTCATAGGAAATTCTATATTTCCTATAGAATTAAAATCCTCTAAAATTTTTATATGTTTTTCCTCCAATTCAAAGGGGCCCTAAAACTAGTATTACCCCTGGGCATATATCTGGCCTGCTCCAAGCGCGTTGTGGCCAACCTCACTGTTGCCCATGTCGTCGTCCGTAGGCAGCCCCACCGCCGTCCCGTGAGCCTTGATCACCCTCCACCTCTCCGGACCACCCTGCACGCGCCAGAAAACACACACACAAGTCTCGCTCTCAGCTGATCATCATGGGAAGCATCAAACAAACGTCTTGTTAGCGTTGTTACTACCTTCTTGAGGGCGTCGAGGGTTGGGGTGTCGGCGACGTGGATGCAGTTGAAGGTATCCGGCGCCGCCTCGCCCCAGCCGTCCAGCACCACCACGCCCACCACCTTCCCCTTCTCCAGCCTCCGGTGAGCCGCCAGCTCCCACCGCCTCGTCTCCGCCATCGAGAAGAAAAAAAAAACGTTGTTCGTCTGCCTCGACGTTGTTCCTCTTCTCTGGTGGCGTCCCGCCGCGAGCCAAGCTGAAGTTAGGAAGAGGAGGATGTCTGGCTTCTTTTTATGCTGCAACTGGAAGTGTCCGGGCGCGACGAGGCAGCTGGAGAGATGTCCAAGTGTTAAGAGGCACTTCTCGTTGTTTAGTTCTTTCTTGTGAGCTTACGTGACAGTGTGACGCGGACACATGTCGTGTGACCCCGATAATCATCCATGTATACGTTCGTGAACCTGCCTCTATAAATTTTCATCTTAAGAAAGAAAGAATCCCGCCGATTGGAGGCCTATAATCCGTCCTATCGGGCTGAGTTTTCACAACACGAGGCCGCGTCATGTGCGAGAGAGGCCCAAAGGGCATAAAGAACCCGGGCCGACGAACCCGCTGATCTGCCGACACAAAGTGAGTCGTTCGCCGAGATGGCCCACCCGTTTCCATCAAGAGAGCCGGGCCGACACACCGCGCCGGTCGTAGTCGTATAGGTTGTTTAGTTGGCATACTCACATTATCAAAACTTGCTATACTTTATTTAGCTAACATGTCTAACATGTGGCCAACAAAATTAAAGCCACACTTTAGCCATAGTAGAGTAAACTTGCCACACTTTTATGTGCCAATGATATGTGGGACCCACATCACGGTGAAGGAATCTTATCAAAAGTGTGGCACCAAACAAACGAATGTCTAACTAAGTTAAACTTTGGCTAATTTGAGTTGTGGCATGATGAGGCAAATTTTGGTAGTGCGGGGCTGCGGGCGCACACGGAGCTCTCGGCGAGCCGCGCGGGGAGCGCCGCCACCGACCGCTCGGGTTGCCGGATTCCCAGCCGACACCGACACGGCTGATCTGATCAATCAATCTGTGGCTCGCGGATCTCTCATGAAACCGAGGGTGGCGTTCCAAAAACAGGTGGAATCACGACGGTGCCGTCTCTCCATCCTGTTTGCCAAGTTCCGTGCCAGCCATCTGCGTTTTCTGCCATGCCACCCTGACGCCACACTGCAGAACTCCACATGCAAACTGTGTATTGGGGGGGGGGGGGGGGGGGTGGTCTGCGACTTGTGTGCATATCGAGTGTAGTCCCGGTGTGTGCCGCTTTCCGTAGTTCCCACGGTATATCGAGTGTAGTCTGCAGGCGCACTCGCCACTATAGAATATCATCGGCATTTCGTTTTCTGCTCTTTGCACGTTCTTTACCCTTCCCTCGCTAACATCAAAAGTTGGACGAGCCGCTTTGCGTGCTGGGCTTCCAAAAGCAACGCTCAAACTGAACGTGATATAAAAACCAACTCTTCCTCCTCTGACAAAGTTACGATCATACCGGTGGTCTTTAAACTACATGACGGGCTGAACTACCGTAGAACTGACAAAGGCCGTGTTTAGTTCCACAGCTATTTTTTTAAAAGTATATGAACACACATTTAAAATATTAAACGTAAACTAATAATAAAATAAATTACAGATTCTTATAAATTGCGAGATGAATTTATTAAGCCTAATTAATCCGTCATTAGCAAATGGTTACTGTAGCACCACATTATCAAATCATAATGTAATTAGGCTCAAAAGATACATCTCGTAATTTACATGTGAACTGTGTAATTATTTTTTTCATTTATATTTAATGCTCTATATAGGTGTCTAAATATTTAATGTGACAGATTTTTTTAAAGTTTAAAGGAGACTAAACACAATCAAAAGTGACGAGAGCATGGGGGTGTTCCTTTTTTTTTTATACCCTCCCTGTCTCGTCTCGTTGGATGTTGCTGGATAAGCCGGCCTGTAGTAACAGTCGTGTATCTAGGGAAGGATGGCTTCTCTCGTCGTCTCTTTCCGTTCATTTTCCAGAGCCTGACACTGCCGATTCTCGCTTAGAATAAACGACCTGGCACCTGGCACAGTGCCATGAGTTATTTTCCTACAACCGGCCCAATCCAATGAATCCATGGTCTCGGTTTACTCAGGCCTCTAGTATGATATTAGTATCTGCCATCCCATTTACGTGTCAGCACCGGGCAAATTAGCCGATAGATTAACAAGACAACTAGTAGCATGTATCATGAGTAAGCACGCGCTGCGGAGTTGTTAATAGCAGCGCATCTCGGACTTAACAGCTTAATTACGGTGAGTTCACATGCGGAGCACACGTACACCAAGAATGGCCATCCCAGGCGGCCGTTTGCTGATGATAATGTCTCCCCGTCGTATGCTGCTAATAAAGTGATCACCTACCACCGTACACTTCCTGACACATGGGGGAGTTAGTTCGTCCTTTCTTTGAGAGGAGCAGATGAAGGAGTAGCTGTTTATTGGCCTTGTTAGGGGGTGTTTGGGAGCCCCTCTCACAAAACAATAAGTCTTATTGTGAGAGCCTCTCTCTCCCAAACATTCCCTTATTTCCATAACTTTGATTTTCAAGTCTCATGTTAAATAATTATATTGCCTACTTTTGGTGACATCGTTGAGTAGATTGTGCACATGATTGTCACTATTTTTTCAACAATATATTTTTAGGACTATAGAAACTATACAATGCTATGGATGCATGTTGCAAAACAAATCTAACGATATGAATTTTAACATTCAAACTTCAAAGAGAGTGATATCCCTATCAGAAAATAGAGTGATATCTCGCAAAAAAAGGGGAGAAAAACAGAGCAATATAGGCATGTTTACTTTGATGTCATTTTTAACCTTACCGAATTTTGGTAAAGTTACTAAATAAGTGGCTACATTTAGTTTGCTGTTAAATTGTCGAAATTTGGTAAGTTTTTTTTGGCATCAAAAGTGAACAGACCCTAAGTTTACCATTTAGTACTATTGGTTAATGTAGTGTTTTCGTCGAGCCGGAAATCCCGAAGCGGTTGTGGTTGCCGGCCTGCCGCTGCTGTCCGGGCCTTCGGCGTCGTCGAAACGGCGGGGCGCACGTCGGTTTTCGCCGTGGTGAACGGGGGAATGGGGTGGGGATACGCACGCGGGTTTGCTTGGTCCCGTTCACGCGGCGCGGTATGGGTGTAGCCGTGTAGGGGGTCAGCGGTTTCGCGTCTTTTGTATCGTCCCCTCCTCGTCGCGCCGAGCCGAAATCATCAGAGACAACGGCTACGGTGGGATGCTGCCGCGGATCGGAGGAGAAAGGCAGAAAAGCTGTGGTACGAAGGGCGCAGGTTTCCGCAGACCGCAGGCGAAATGACCGGTAGCATTTGGAGTCCACTCCTACCGAGGCGACATGGCTGGCTCGTGACATGTTTGCTCCGTTGGCATGGTGTATATTCCGGTTTTTCATTGCTTGGGATGTTTTTCTTTGGATGGGTGGCTTATGTTTATGGCAAGTACTGTACGCAGTACTATGAACAGTAAACTGTTTTAATTAAGGGCCAGCTTGGAGCTAATAAATCCATAAAATGATTAGGAAACACGGTGCCAAAATGGGGAAGAAAACAAATATGGTTTTCAACTATTAATACATGGTGCACAGCAATATAATCTTATACTCCCTCCGTTTCAAAATGTTTAACATCGTTGACTTTTTAGCACATGTTTAACCGTTCGTCTTATTAAAAAAATTTGTGAAATATGTAAAACTATATGTGTACATGAAAGTATGTTTAACAATGAATCAAATGATATGAAAAGAATAATTAATTACTTAAATTTTTTGAATAAGACGAATAAGACGAATGGTCAAACACGTACTAAAAAGTCAATGGTGTCAAACATTTTGAAACGGAGGGAGTATAACCTAATGATATAAGGAAAGAGATCGACTTTTTAAAGACATGTGACTTTGAGTCACTAACATATGGATTCAATTTGCTATAGATTTACAAAAATATTAATTACTCAAAATTACGTGATGAAATGGTGGAGGATCGGTCTTAATGCTGGAAACCATTCAAGTTCCATGGAATTCCTTAGAAATATAGGAATTCCTAACCCCGCATAAGTATTTCTATGCCGCATTTTTTCCTTTGTTTAAATGATAAATTAAATAAAAAATTGTGGCCATGTGCAAGCACTAAATGGATACAAACAATCTGTTCAGGTTCTAAACCTTTCTTGCACAATCCGACTTCCGTCGGGACCGGCGGTAGCTAATGAAGAAAGCGACGCAAAACGAAACAGAAAGCCTACTCCAATCGTTGCTCCGTTTCTTGTCTTTCTTTGGATATAATCTCCGGTGTTAGGTCCACACACAACAAATAAAAAAGAGCAATGAAGCCTTCAATTTGAAGGATGTGTGCCCAATAAGGTTTGTCCTACTATATCAATATATATCATCCATGCACCATTCCTATTGATTCTTAACACACGATTGGGCGCGAAAATGGGAATGCCAATATTATTTAAAAGCACCGACAAACCTAAACTTGAAAAAGGCCTATGAAAAAAACAGAGATGGGGAAATAACGCAAGAGGGTTCTTTCCTTGACAAGTATGTGGGCTATATATTGTAAGTGTACTTTAGAACCTTCTATTCACTTCGCATCGATGCATGTTGCTTGGCCCTTGTTTAGTTTCTAATTTTTTCTTCAAACTTTTAACTTTTTCATCACATTAAAATTTTCCTACACACATAAACTTTTAAATTTTTTCTTTAAACTTCTAATTCTAGTCAAACTTTTAATTTTGATATGGAACTAAACACACCCTTAGTAAGGGAAAGGCATGGAATTGTCTGCAGTAGTTAGATCTAGGGGAGAGGGGCTAAAGTTTAGGTAGAGAGGCCTCTCTCCAAACACCCCCCTAGCTGAAGCATTTAAAGGTGCTACTAAATCAGTACTCCTGCATGTTCTAGGGCTGTTTGGTTGGTGGCCTCAGTTTGCCACACCAGATCTTAGGCGTGCCACAATTTTTCAGGCTAGTGTTTGGTTGCGTGCCGCAGTTGAGTCAAGCCACACTTTACTAGCACATTGGCCCACGCGTCATACTCTCATTTGCTAGCCAAAGTTTGCCATAGTTGTGGCCAACAAATTGTTGGCCACACTTTGTGTGGCTTACCACACTTATAGCAAATCGAGCTATGGTAAAGTTAGCCTCTATTCAAATAGCCCCCTAGACTTGTAGTGAGTCTAGCCAGAATTTGTTTTCTCTCTTCAACAGAAAAGAGAGTAAAGTTAGAAAATGAACAGGAAAGCGGGAGATCCATCATCATCATCATCATTCATCACCTTTCCATATTTTCCTGACCACTCTTTC